ACGTCTAGTAAGAACTACCCCCGGCGGAAGAAGAACGTGCTGGTCGCCGCGGCGGGTAAGGCGGCGGGTAGACGGGCCGCTCCTGTCGCCCCAACCGCCCGCGGGGCCCCCCGGTTTGGCAGCGCGCGCAGTGGTATCCGTGGGGTCGGAGCCGCGAAACCTCCGAAAGTTTCTCTGTAGCGGGGGGACGAGTAAGGGGCTGGGGTCCTGAGGCGAGGAGTGGTATCCCCCCGTGCAGTGACGTATGTCGTCCCCCCTCGGGAACTTGGAGCCCGGGCGGCGGCCGGACCGTGGTCATGTTTCGCGGTTCGGTCGTGGCCCGGAGAGGGTATACCCGGTCGACGGAGCCCTGCGCGTAGGGGATTTTATAAGATGCACCCCCACCCTAAATTTACGCAAGAGGAGGAAGGAACAAGCGAGACCGGAAACCTGCAATCCGGTTCAATGGAACTGACGGGAGAAACGCCGGTAGACGGGGATCGACAAGTGGAATCGGATCCTGCGTCTGTAAAGGAGACAAGCACAAGTGTGGGAGGAACTAGGGGAAAGAGGAAGAAAAACTCCCCAGCAACAGATGAGGAACAACGATTTAAGAAGAAATCTAGAAATCGGAGGCGCAAAAGGAAAGCCTTCATAATAGAAACGGATGAGGAAATAGATAAAGGGATAACAGTCTCATCCGAGGAAGCTGAATGGATGGACGATACCATAAATGCCATAAATAACAGCAAAGGGACTAAAAACAAATGGAAGCTGTGATTGTGAAGGATAATCCCCTAGACGATATGGATATTAAAACGCTAAATGACGTCGCGCTAGAGAACCTGGACAGAGTAGAGAGACTAATTGTAAGAAAAAAATCCAAGAACTTAAATGGACAGATAGCAGGGTAAATGAAAAACTCGATAGGAAAAGTGGGCGAAGTTCTTAAGACGCTTGTAAAAAGAATAGAAGCGCAAGGGGATATAAAATACTTGGAAATTAAAAATGTAGAACTAACAGCTCAGGTGGCGAGTCTCAGGCGAAATGAAGAAATAAGAAAAAGGGAAGTCCTAACGTTGGAAAAGGAAGTGCAAGAATTGAAAGAGGAACTTAGGAACATAAAAAATGAAATTGGGACGCGAGCTGCGACAGGGCCGGAAAAGACATCACAATAGCCGCCAATAAGACCGGCAAAATGAAAGGCCAGACCGGTATCGGCAGGTAGTGGATACACTGGAACGGATAGCGAGACACGAGAAACAAGCAGAATCGCAGAGTGAAAAGACGGAAACGGACCGGGAGACCACGGAAAACAGAGGCGACCGGCTGCATATATTGAACCGGAAGATCGACGAGCTAATTGGTATTCGAAACGAGTATAAGATCACCAGTGGAACGGGTAAAACAGGGGGTAAAAGGAAAGAGACCCCCAGAGATAATAAGAGGGTGAAAGGAAGAAGGCCTGTGATAGTGTCAAATATACAGCTGGCGCCCCCAAGGGGAGAGAGACGCCGGATGAGAGACGAGGAGCGGAGGAAGGACGAGTACGACGGAGGGATGGAAACGGCTATACCCTCCAGATAAATGCAGGATGGACAGGCGGCTGACAGAAGAAGGCGGAGACCTCCACGAACGGCGGCAGTCACGATAACAGGGATAGAGGAAGGTTTCTCCTATGCTGATGCGCTTAAGAAGGCGAGGAGTGATATTGCCTTGACGTCACTGGGAATAGAACGTTCCCGCATTAGAAAGGCGGCAAACGGAGAGGTACTAATAGAGATACCTGGTCCAGAAGGGGCGGCTAAAGTGGATGTCCTCGCGGGAAAGCTAAGGGAAGTACTAAGTAACGCGACTATTGGCAGACCCACAGTCAGAGGGGAGATCAGACTGATAGGCCTGGACGACTCGGTAACAACAGCCGAGGTGGCGGACACCATCGCGGAGACGGGAACATGTCGAGTGGATGAGGTAAAAGTAGGAGCGATTAGGCCCATGAGAAATGAAATGGGCACGATATGGGCACAGTGCCCACTGACGGCAGCACTGGCACTGGAGGCGAAAGGGAGGCTGAAAATCGGGTGGTCGTTGGCAAGAGTTGTCCTGCTGGAGAAAAGGCCCATGCAATGCTTCAAGTGCTGGCACTTTGGGCACATGAGTAGAAATTGTGCGGAAAGCAAGGACAGGACGGGCTCGTGCTTTAGATGCGGCCAGACAGGGTATGCTGCCAGACACTGCGCGAATGAAGTTAACTGCCCGGTTTGTAAGGATGAGGGACTGGAACACGACCATAGGTTCGCGTCCCAAACGTGTAAGTACAGAGTCCCCTCGGGAGGAGGAAATAGGGGCAACGAGAGAAATGGCGGGTAAATTGCGGATACTGCAGTGTAATTTAAACCACTGCTGGAACGCTTTCGATATGATGAAACACTATACTATGGAGGAAAACATAGATATTTCCATCATTTCAGAACCACCGCCAACCGAAAACAAAGAAGACTACATGATTAGCAATAATGGCAACGCGGCCATAATGCGCCATAAACAAGCGGAATTTAAGCCAATCATCAGGAATGACAACTTCGCGATTGCAAGAATAGGGAAATTGTACATAGTAGCAGTATATTTATCCCCGAATATTGGCTTTAATAATTTTATTAATAACTTGGACATACTAAAGAATACTATTAGGGGACTACAGCTCCCATGTATCATAGGGGGTGATTTTAACGCGCATTCTGCAATGTGGGGATCTAGGCGAACAGACAGGAGAGGGAACGTGTTGGCAAACTGGGCCTCAGAGCTGGATCTCTGTTTGGCCAACATAGGGACGAACCCTACCTGTGTTAGACACACGGGTACGTCGATAGTGAGTGAATGGAGAGTGTGCGGGGATATGGAGACACTATCTGACCACTTGTATATTAGGTTCGACGTGGCGCTACAAAACGCCCATACTGCGGAATAATCCCTAGAGTTAAGTGGAATTTTAAGAAATTAGACCAAGAGTTTTTCGAGGAGGCTCTGGAGTGGAGTTGCGCGGTGGGACCAACACCAGGAAACTTGGAGACGGCGGACGGTCCGGCCTGGTAGCTGAGGCGAGTAATGTCCGAGGCCTGTGACGCGGCGGTACCTAGAGTTGTCAAAAGACCATGAAAACAACAAGCGTACTGGTGGAACGAGGAGATAAGCACACTCAGGAGAGACTGCATTAGGACCCGCAGACTGTGGTCAAGAGCTAGATGAAGGAGAGAAGACCCAAGGGAGCCGGAACTGGCGAACGCGTACCGGGCGGCGAGGGAAAGCTTGCGCAGGGAGATCGGGAAGGCAAAAAATCTGGCATGGTCATCCCTGATTGAGGAGATTGATAGGGATCCATGGGGTCTACCTTATAAAGTAGTGATGAAAAAGATCAGGAAGACGGATGCAAGCTTAACGAATACGCTAGACCGGGAGGAAATGGACCCACTACTCGATTCACTGTTCCCATGGAGTAGGCCGCCACAGATAATGGATTGGCATGCCTTGGGGTACAGGTGGGAAGATACCATGCAAATAACGCCAGCAGAAGTAATGGGGGCCATAAACAGTAGAAAAAAGGTGAACACAGCACCGGGTCCGGATGGAATATCGATCCATTTCTGGAGGAAAGCTCCGATATGCCTAATCAAAAAGATTGCGGATTGCTTCACGGCATGTCTGAGGAACGGCACCTATCCAAGGCCGTGGAAAAGGGCGAGTTTGGTTTTGCTCCCCAAGGGTGAGATCAAAGAGGGAGGAAAAATAAAAGCAAGACCAATCTGTCTCCTTGATGACATCTCCAAGATACTGGAGAAAATTATGACGGACAGGATACTGGATTACATAAAGGACAAGGGATACGCAAATTTCTCCGAGAACCAGTATGGCTTCCGTAGGGCAAGGTCCACCACGGATGCGATAAAGGCGGTGCAAAAGACCATACAGGAGGCCACAAATCAGGGCAATGTAGTCATCACGATAGTACTGGATATTAAAAATGCGTTTAACTCGCTTCCGTGGAGGACCATTAAGGACGCGCTTAAGAGAAAGAGAATACCTAAATATATTCGAAGGTTTGTGCATGCGTACCTGTCGGACAGGGCTGTAGTATATAAGGACATTTTTGGCTGAAAAGTGGAAAGACCGGTAGAGGCGGGGGTACCACAGGGCTCCATATTGGGGCCTCTCCTCTGGAATCTGTCGTATGACCTCGTGCTCAGGCAAAGGCTGCCGCCTGAGTACAGGACTTTCGGTTTCGCGGACGACACGATGATTGTGGTGATCGGGGATGATAATCAGGGGGTTTGTTATCTGGCGGAAGACGCAATTCGTTTGGTTAGGAGGAGGCTCGACAAAATGGAGCTGGCCTTGGCCGAGGAGAAGACAGAGATAGTGGCGTTTCCGAGAATGCGTAGAGTTAGGGAGATCGCGGTTGGAAGTGCCATGGTGAAAATAGGGAACGAGCTCAAATATTTGGGGGTGGTGATCGACTCTACATGGCGCTTCAGACCGCATCTGGAAGCTGTAGCGGCCAAGGCTCTTAATATATGCAGGACGCTGAGTAGATTGATGCCAAATTTAAGAGGACCAAGTGAACATAAAAGGAGGCTGTTCTATACAGTGGTCCTGTCGGTTATAATGTACGCGTCGCCGGTGTGGAGCCCGACATATAGTAGAAATAGAAAATTGCATCCCAGTTAAGGGGCGTGCAGAGATCAATAGCGCTACGGGTTGCGGCTGCGTACAGGACAACCTCGCTGGATGCAGCGACACTACTGGTCAGGGTCCCACCCGTGGGGTTCCTGTTGACGGCGAGGGAGAGGTTGTACGAGAGAGGCAGTGCTGCCCGTGCGGCCGGGACGTGGACCAAGGAGGTGGCTGAGGAAGCAAGGGCGGAGATCCTAGAACAGACAAGGGCAGAATGGAGAGAGCACTTGGGAACCTTCAACGTCTTGGGGGCCAGGACAAGGGAGGCCATACTGCCGGTGTTCGAGAAATAGATGAACCGAGGCCATGGAAGGATCACTTTTAGGATAACCCAGCTATTGACGGGTCACGGCTGCTTTGGGACCTATCTCAGGCGGATAGGCAAGGCAGAGTCGGCGGTGTGCCCGTACTGCTGGGAGGAAGGAGAGGAGGAGGAAATTGACACGGCAGAGCACACGATTGCCGTGTGCAGAGCCTGGAGTGCGGAGCGCGCGGAGCTGACCGCAGCGATTGGGGAGGACCTGTCCCTGGGGGGTGTGGTGCGACAAATTGTCGAGACGAAAGAGAGGTGGGCCGCCTTCTCTCTCTTTGCTGAGAGGGTAATGAGGAGTAAGGAGGAGGCGGAGAGGAGACGCCAGGAACAGGAGCGGGAGGTCCAAATGGCTGCGAGAGGAGAGGAGCGGGAGGCGGATGGCCGCGGTGCTGGAGGAGCGCTGGAGATCAGGGAAGCGGACTCGGACGATCACCCGGACCGTTCGGGAGATTGAAGCCTGAGGACGGCGTGTGCGAGGAGTGCATTAGGAATGGGGGCCTCTGCACCCTCCCCTCGAGGTCCGGGGGGAGGGTGTCGGATGGCCTCCGTTCCAACAATGGAGATGCGCTGAGGAGGGAGAGAAGGGGTACCTTCCTCCCGGGTCTCTCCTCTGTGGGGGACCGGGGGATGGGACCCATTCCGCCTGGTTCCGGCCGCGAAGGAAGGACGGACGGAGTCTGGGAGGTCTGCGCGCGGAGACGAGGAGAGGAGGTGGTGAGTAAGGCGCGCGCGGAGAGAGCGGGGGACGGTCCCTCTCCTGGGGGACGATAGAGAGAGTGGGCCGGGAGGCTGGGTCCCGGGATGGGACCCCTCATCCTGGCCCGCGGCGTGGGTTTCCGGGTGGATACCGCGGCGGCTACGGCTCAAAGGATGGCTGGGCGAGCCCCGTATCTCGCGCGGCCATCCGGCGAGGAAGGGCGCACGGGGGGTTGCTCCTCTGTGTTCAGATGGAGTCCTCCTCGATCAGCTGCGGGATATCCTACGCGGTTGCCCACGTCTGATGGGGTGAGGGGGGCCGTTGTTGCTGGCGCTGCAGTGGCGCGGTTCCCGTCAAGAAACCTATTCTCTTGGTTGTCGGACGGGCAACCGAGAAACTGGGTTTCATGTGGCGGGGAATTTGAATTCTCTAGGAACACACATGGATTAGGTTAGGATTTTTGCTACTCGTACGCAAGTACTGTGAGGATAGAAGCATCTCGGGCGCATGTCGCGAGGGTTGTCAAGGACTGGAGTATGCTTTGGCGGTTCCCAGTCCTTGGCGCCGACCCAAAAAGCGGTCTCGAGGGAGAGTTTTTAGTGCGGTGCAAATCCCACATACCCCTATGGGCCGGCCCATAGGGAATGGTCGAGCCATTTTCTCTTCCTGCCGAAAAACAAAAAAAAGGTTCGGCGCTTGACCCCGTGACTCATAACATGGACATTAAGAATACGCGTCCAGGTGTTCGCGCTAAAAAAGTATCGAAACGAGTGACAGGTCAGCACCTAGATATTTGTTACATGTCACGTAGTGACAGGTCAGCACCTTGCGTGACGTCAAGGTCGCATACTTCCCTCCTCCCGCGGTCCCCTCGCCACGGAGTTCCCCCTCCCCGCTCCCCCCTCGCCGCGGAGTACCCCCCGCCCCGCTCCCCCCTCGGAGCCCCTGGGTTTAGAACTCCCTACTCTCCCCTACTATCTTGCGAAATCTGAAGTTTGA